GTAAAAGCTGTGGTATTGAAATTTCACACAAATGAATATATTAGTAGGGCCAATGTGTTTCATGAAAGTCGTTGAAATTACTTGGCTCCTTCTGGTACCTGCCATACAACTTCAAAAGTTTTTTGGCTATATCTCAAAAACTATATAAGCTATGGTATTGAAATTTCACACAAACGAATACACTAGTAGGGCCAATGTGTATGATAAAAGTCGTTGAAATTACTTGGCTCCTTCTGGTACCTGCCATACAACTTCAAAAGTTATTTTGCTATATCTCAGAAACTATAAAAGCTATGGTATTGAAATTTCACACAAGCGAATATATTACTAGGGCCAATGTTTTTGATAAAATTTGTTAAAATTTCTTAGCTTTTTCTGGTAGCTGCCATACAACTTAAATAGTAGTTTGGCACACACAGTATTTTGAAAAACAGACAGTATTGAAATTTTGCATAAATTAATGTGTCCCTTAGTCAGTTATGGCATCTTTATTTGCACATAGGATAACAAATTCGTACGGGTATCACAGAGTTGACAAGGTCAACTCTATTTTTTTTCTCGTTTACCTTTAATCTCATTTAATTTGATTTGCTGTGTATAATCTGTAATATAATGAACTATTGTACATATAACCATATTATAGCTTTTTTACTTTAAATAATTTATGTAATCTTTAATACAATCTTTTACTTTCCTATTTTAGTTTATACAATTTTTTTTTAAATTATATATATAATTAAATATATTAAGTTGAAGCTTCTTTTTTAATTTCCCATAACTTTTCCTATAATTTTTCCTATTTTGATATTTTTCAGAGATACATATGTGATTTCAGGCAATAATATCCATATATTATTGTAAATTTTAGCATTAGAAAAAATCAAGGTCTGGACCCTGCTTTTTCTGTAAATGTATTTGCAAAATTGCATATGCTTTTTGGCCGAATGACATTTCTGAAGAATAATCTTTTTATTGTTGATTTTTTTGGGAAAAATTATGATTTTTACCTATTTTTATTTCGAGTTTTCTATACGAAAAGTTGACTAAAACCTGAAAACTTTTAAACTAAAATGATATTTGGGGTTGAGAGCATTGAGAGTAAAAACTGATAATACATTGAAAAAAAAAAATTTGGTGCAATATTTTTTACTAAATACATGACTTAAAATAAAGTTTATAAAAATTTTATTAGATTTTAATTTAAGTTTGTAATTATTTGATTTTAAGTTTTATAATTATGAAAATGTTTTAAAAATTTTGTAACCATTATAAAAAATGCGTCGTTTCAAGTTATCCTCTGTATAAAAACAATCATAATAAAAATATTATAAAGAAACTTGTATAAGTTTCAAAGTTTCTGATGCGGTAGTTTATCTTAATGCGGTAGTATATCTTAATAAAACTAAAATCACATACATACGTACCTTAAAAGAATTATATCTATATTATATTTTACAAGATTTTTCCAGTTCATGAACAGGTATACATATAATCTAATAAATAACAAAAACAAAAAAATGAAAATAGCAAAAGAGAATACTGGGTAGATACATTACTCAATTGATTATACATACTGTAAAACAAAAACAAAAAATGAAAAGCGAAAAGCGAAAGAGAATAAAAAATGAGTAGTAATATTTTTTTTGTTTTTTTGCTTTACTGCCATAAACAAAAATAAAAAGCAAATGGAAGCGAAATATTTTAAATGAGTTAAGTAAGAGTAAAATAATTTTTTGTTGTTGTATTTAACATGGAATGAAATTAAAAAAAATAAAACTAAAAATTGTGAGAGATATAAGAACACGAATAACGTTACGTTACGTACTAAGGCAATTATTCTTCGTGTGCTTGCGAAATTTCAATTGAGTAAGTAGCCAAGCCAGGTCTGTATAAAGTAAAGAGGCATTGATTTTTTATTAATTCACATTCACTTCGGTTTTAAAGTTTAACGTGAAAGTTACTATTTCCAATTGCGGATTCTTTTCTTTTTAAAAAATGGATAACAAACAAATGGTGGAAATATTTTAACAGATAACGTTGTTTATAAGGAAATTTTTCGTTCTTAATTGTTAACTAATTCTTAAATTGAATTTTAATCATATCTATGTAATTAACAGTGAGACATATTACATCTTAAAATTTATTAAATTAAAAATATTTCCATTACTTTTATTTATCATTAGTATTCAAACCAATATGATATTTATGCATATACAAGTATAACCTGCATATGTATGCCATAATATGTACAAATTTTTCTAAACTTATTTTAAAACTGATTGCCACAATCCTGTTTGTACAACAGATAATGCTGCTTATAAGCAAACCACAGGCGCCCCTAGTCTATATTATATTTTACAAGATTTTTCCAGTTCATGAACAGGTATACATATAATCTAATAAATAACAAAAACAAAGAAATGAAAATAGCAAAAGAGAATACTGGGTACATACATTACTCAATTGATTATACATACTGTAAAACAAAAACAAAAAATGAAAAGCGAAAAGCGAAAGAGAGTAAAAAAAGAGTAGTAATATTTTTTTTGTTTTTTTGCTTTACTACCTTAAACAAAAATAAAAAGCAAAAGGAAGCGAAATATTTTAAATGAGTTAAGTAAGAGTAAAATAATTTTTTGTTGTTGTATTTAACATGGAATGGAATTAAAAAAAATAAAACTAAAAATTGTGAGAGATATAAGAACACGAATAACGTTACGTTACGTACTTATCTAGATAACGTTGTTTAGAAGGAAATTTTTCGTTCTTAATTGTTAACTAATTCTTAATTTGAATTTTAATCATATCTATGTAATTAACAGTGACACATATTACATCTTAAAATTTATTAAATTAAAAATATTTCCATTACTTTTATTTATCATTAGTATTCAAACCAATATGATATTTATGCATATACAAGTATATACCTGCATATGTATGCCATAATATGTACAAATTTTTCTAAACTTATTTTAAAATTGATTGCCACAATCCTGTTTTTACAACAGACAATGCTGCTTATAAGCAAACCACAGGGGCCCCTAGTAGACTTATAATATAAAAAGAGTTCTTTTAATATATGAGAGAATATAGAATTATATAGATATATATGTGATTATATCAGAAGTATGCATTTTGGGAGACATATCGTACAAAATTAGCAAACTCGTTAATATCGAATGTACATTTTCTCAAATTTGAAAAAAAACGCCAAAATAAAATACATAAATACTTTGAAAAAAAAAATTGCGCTATTGAAATTTTAAAAAAAAGAACGGAACCTGAAAGGTTCTTTTTAAATCAATTTTTAATATTTTGATAACACAAAACTTTAAGAATGTAAGCAACAGTAAATTAGAAAAATATTGAATTTTAACTTTTTCTAATTAAAAGTTTGAAAAAAGTCGATCTTGTGCGAGATTTATGATATTGAAAGGGTCCTCTATAGATCCCATAAGAATACATGTAAATTCGTATTTGAATATTAGAACAGAAATTTTTAAAATTGTAAAATTCAGTTTAAGTTAAGTTTCTTAAGATCTCAGTTCGGAAAATAAATTTCTGCATTTTACAAGTTATAAACTAATAATTCAAAACTGGCACAGAAACGGTAGAATCACCAACAAGCGCCATCCGGTATAATGTAAAATAAAATATAAAAAAAAATATTTTATAGTTTAACTATTAAATTCACTTGTATAGCAATATAAAAAAAGCTAGTTTTGTGGGAAAACTAAAAGAGACAACAATTAAACTTTTCCAAATCAAGATCATTCATTTGATCAAATAAAGATAATCAATTTAAAATAAATTTGTGAATTGCAACGGGTCTGAACGAAAACATTATTTGTCACACTAAATTTTTTTCAACTAGATTCAAGTAAAATACAACTAGAGTTGCGCTCCTAGATTTTTCTAGTGAAAAAAAAATCAATAGATTGTCTAGTTTAATATTTCACTGATATTCTAGTAGGTTTAATTAGAATTGCCTTTGAAAAAGCTAGAGTTCTAGTTATCTGGACAACTACGTTTAATAAGAATCCGAAAACTATTTATAGTAGAAAATCTCTTTATTTTCACTAGTATTTCATATAACTTAACTGCATTTTCAATGAAGCACACTAGAATTAACAGAATTTTAAGTAACCAGTTTCTAGTGAAAAAAACAGTATATTGATAAAAAACGCTGGAACATCTGTTCAATTTTTTTGCGGTATTCTAGATAACTTAATTAGATTCCCTGTGAAAAATTACCAGAATTTCCATTATGAGAGTTACCTGATTTCGAGTGAAAACACACAGAGTTACAGTGATAAAAAAAACTAGAAAGCACATTAATTTTCTAGAACCACTTGCTTGTTTTACCAGACTTCCAATGATAAATGCTAGAATTCCCAACAATTTGAGAGACCACCTTCTAGTGAAAATAAGAGGATTACTAGAGAAAAAAAGAAAATTCCTAGTGAAATAAGCAAGAAAATCTTTTAGATTTCTTACCGTATTCTTGGCAGTTTAACTAGATTTTCCATAATAAAGACTAGAATTTCCATAACAATAGTAATCACTTTTCAGTAAATGTCAATATATTACTATTGAATAAAACTAGACAACTATTTCATTTTTCATCATAGTTCTAGTTTTTTCAAATAGATTTCCTGGAGAGAAACTTTGGATTTCCAGTTTTTTAATAACCTGTTTCTAGTATTTAGGAACAGATTTCTAATTAAAAAAGATGGCCAATTTCTATAGGATAATTATAGAAAATCTGTGAAATACATCTATCCTATGGCATTGGATAGATATATTAAGCAGATTTATATCCTACCTAACTATGGTTTGGCTAAACCAAAATTTTCGAAAATTCTAATGTTAAAACTTTTGTAGTTGTAATATTTCTAATTTCATAACAAATTTTTAAAGTTATTTTAGGAAACTCATCACAAAAAATTTCAAGCAATATAAATGACATTTTATAGAGAAATAACAATTTTTGTGTCTTACATAACAAATTATGGTTTTTATTTTTGACTTTTATAGCGTTTGACAAAAAGTTCTATGATAATGTTCTTACGTTTTTTCATTTAAATTTAACATAGCAATATATTTTTTTAAATACATACATTTTTTTAATTTTGAAGTTGTGATATCATTATTACATTGCACACTTAAGTTAATTCAAAAAATTAGAAATCAATGCTACGCATACGTGTATATCCTCTCATAAACAAACTGTTTTGTAGGATTATTAATTATAGAAAAAGAATATGAAACGTGCTACAGCACTTCTAAATTTAACCGATAATAAAAAATATATAATTATTTGGTCATAATACATTTTTAGTATTAGTATTCATATTTATCTACATACATAATCAGGTATAATATTTTTCAAAAAAGAAAAGAAATAATAAATAATTAACATTCCTACTTCTTAAAGATAAAATATGTATATGTATAAAGAGTGGTACATTTCTTTGTTTTTGATATAATATTATTATAAGGTGTATTTAAATGATTTGTCATCTATGTATATCATTTTACAACATTTACATACATAAAATTATGAAAATTTTATAATATAACCAAACACTAAATAACATTAATTGATAATTTTTTAATATAACACCGAAACAGTACCATTTTACATTTTTCATTTTGTATATATAAACTTCGAAAAAATTTAACAACTTCAAAATTTTTTTATCAAATTTTAAATTACAAGACGTAATGAATTTTGAAAAGAGTATCAAATGCTGTAAGAAAATCGTTTGCGCACTCCATAATTTTTCCGTCAATTACTAAATAAATGTTTTCAGTCAGGCGTGAAAATTTTTCAGTACATCTGTAAACGAGATACGGTTGCTTATTGTTTCGTTATCTAAAACATTTTCTATATTAGCATTAATCTGTAAACAAATATATTACTTAAATTAAAAAAATAAAATCTAAAAAAGAACAACAAAGCAGTTCTTATATCTCACATCAATCTCTAAAACGAGGGATATTAAATCTTCCTCTGCAACAAGTTTTTCCCAATCATCTAAATTACTCGCAATCAAAGCAATTGCTTTTTTTCAAATTTCTTCTTGGCAGCATTTTCAAAAGTATAAATATTTTTCTTAAGTTTTCTTATTAAATTGAAAAATAATAAGTTAATTGAGTTTTTTAGTTAAATTTATATCGAAACTCACCATATTGGAGAAATTCTGTTTCCTTCCTATAAAATGGTTCTAAGTTAAGGTTTTCCAATACTTGAATGTTAAATCTTTTACTTTTTAAGAGCTCCAATCCATTTTTAATCTAGAAATTAAAAGCAACTTTTAAAAAGCACTCATAAATTAGTTTGGGATTTTTACAATTGTGCCCTTGTAGGCAAGAAATGTTAGGTAAGTATCCAATATGTTTAAATATCCAACTTCAAATCTACGATTTTAAAATGTCTCGTTCATTAAATATTTTATACGATTGAAGTTTTGTTTTGGAGAATGTTTTCAGTTTTGCAATCTAAATTTAAAATTAAAAAAAAAAATTACACGCATACATATAAACGTCGATTAGTGTGTACGTAAAATGACGCGGAAAAATTACAGTTAAAATAAAAAAAAGATCAAAAATAATTAATATTTTTTAAAAATAATATTTTGCTTACTTCTCAAAATTTCTGCAACATCCTTATTAATACCTTTTTCCACCAAATAGACAAAAGAAGCCCCAACGTCCATATTTTGAGAATTACAAACCTTAAAATTACAAAAAATAAAATATTTATGCTTGTTTACCCGCATGCATATACTCGTATGTATGTATTTATATTTGCTTTTATGTATATATGAATATGTACATACCTCCAAAATATGTTTTTTATTTTTTATAAAACTGTCTTTTAAACTTATTTCTTTTGAATTGGTTTACACTGTTTTATAATTTATTTGCACTAGTTTTTAATTTGTTTGCACTATTTTTTAATTTTTTTGTGTTCTTTTTATTATTGATTTACATTAACTAAATTCACAATTAAAGTTCACTCTTCGAAGTTCCTTTCAATACTGCCGCGTTATTCAATACTTTTTAAAAGTCTCTCCAAATTTACTCAAATTTCAATTGAAATCACGTGTATTTTACTATTTCATATTTAATTACACTAGAACCTCCAAAAAAATATCAAAATTTGCAAGAAGTCTATTGATATTTACTATCTTTTATAAAATATCGCTAGATTTCTACTTTAAATATACATGTATGTGTATGCGAAGTTTATTATTAATATGGGTATGCAGTATACGTATGAATAATTTTAAAGCGCGAAAAAAATTTGGTGGCGAAAAGAATAACGCAATAAATAAAATTTAAAAGAAAGCAAATATAAACTGATAAATTGAAATTTTCTAATAAATTGAAAATTTATTTCAGAAATAAGATTTCAGAAAATATTAAATAACAAACGAGCAAAATTGAGAAACTCTATTGAAAATAAATGTTTGAGAAAAATCTTTTGAACATGCTTAATGAAAATTTGGGAAAAATAAATGGTTAAAAAAAATTTGCAACTTATTTGGCATAAAAAATGTTAACAAAAATATGAACTTTTGTATATTTAAAAATTTTAAAAGGAAAAGATTTGAAACAAAATCGAAAGTTCTTCTTTAGACGCTTTATTGCGTTATTCTTTTCACCATCAAACTTTTTTTATTTGGTATACATACATACATACGTCTGGACTTTAAAAAAAAATTAAAAGAAAATCAAAAAAATTTTACTTTTCTGTTCATTGTTTTTTTAGCATGTTCATAAGTAACTGTAAAATTTAAACCAAATATTTTAAATACAATATACAGAACTATGTATGTATATGTACAAATTTTTTACATTTTGTTGAATTTTGATTTCATGGCTACCTAATTATTGTAATAATGTAGAATTGTATATGTATGTAAATTTTATGCGCGTATTAATTATGTGAAAAATATTTCAACATGCTGTTACATGTTGCGCAAAGTGTGACCATATCACGATAATAGTATATTATTTGTTAATCTATTATTAAAATATTAATAGCATATTTTTTTGCAAATCTAAGTTAATAACAACTGGCCCAGCTATTTTATTGTATAAATTTATGTGTTTGTACAAATATAAATGCACCGAAGTATGAGGGACTATAAGTATAAATGCACTGAAGTATGAGTCATATGATATTCAATTATTGAATTAATTATTATACTCGTAATAAGATTTCAAAAAAAAGTTCTTTTATTATATATTATTATGTTTAAATTATATACATACATAAGTAAAATATACATAAAAATGCATTATACACATACTCGTACTATTAACTAAAGGTTTATGTACATAAATCAAATTTGAAAATTTAAATCTTTTGTTATGTTATATAAAATTTATAATTTAAAAAATGTACACGTGGTCACACTCTTAAAAGGCGTAAAGCCATACATAAACAAATGTAGAAACAGAATAATTAAAATAGTGTGACCACATTTCATTGGTTTTGGAAAGTTAAAATGAAAAGCAGCTGTAATAGTAATGTTAAAAATTTCAAATTTTCATATACATAAGTATATTTTCTTAATATAGTTATCATTTATAATATCACAAATATTATGTATTTGTATACGATCATATGTACGTCATTATCGTGTTCAAAATATATCAAGTCTTCAGTCCTTACGAAGCTTCGACTAATAATCCCCGAATCTATTAGCCTGTTTTTGTGATTTAATATTAATCACATTCTTCTCAAAATTTCTTAAAACTACTCGTATAATCTTCATATTTAAACTTTTTTACAATAATGTAATGAATCAAGAAATAATTTAAATGTAACGTTAAGACTTATTAAATTTTTAGAAAAGTCATAGATTTTATACTAAATTCTATTTTACTAAATTTTGACGCATTTACTAGTTTGAATCCTTTGTTTGACTTTAAAAAACATTGTAAGACAAAAACGGTTTCAATGTTTATTTTAAGTTACTATTTATAGAAATATGTATTTGAACGAAGAAAGTATTAAATATGAATAAAGTATGATTTATTATGTTTAAGAAATAATTCTAAGCAATTTCACAATAGTAATAACCGATTTTTTTTACAAATGTCAGTTTTTACAAAACGCAAAATTGAATCATATGTGTAGCAATTTTTGACAAAGTTATCTTTTTTTTACAAAGCCGCAATTTTTAACAAAATATTGAAAACAAAACCAAAAGACGTACAAAAATCAAAAAAGAACAGAGGAAATTGCAATGTAATTTAAAATAATTTTGTAGTTGCATGCATATTTCTAAGTATTATTAAATTTTAATTCTAATTAATGTGTATTATTCTATTTATAATTTTATCAAAACAATTTATTTTACCCAATGAGCTTATAACTTTCGCTAAAAGTTAGCTCATTGGGTCAATTACAAGGCAAAGTTTAAAAAACCACGTGTTATTTTTTTCGATGCTGCGTGGTTTCTTTGTATGGGTAATATATAGTATATAGTTCGGTTTGTTTTGTTTAGATTCCTTTTAAATTTACTAGATCTCTGGACAACCGCTAAAAAATCGAAAGCACGAAACCGAACTCCGTCTTTTTCTTCCAGATTCGACTAAAATTCTCTAGATGTCAAGTTATCCTGTCCGTGGATGGAGTCTATTATTATTCTGTTTATTCCATTTAATTTTGCTAGACGTCTCTCATTAGTGGAATCTATTATCTTTGTAGTTTTCTAGCAAAAATTACTAGTATATTCTATTCCCCGTTTCTGAAAACATGTCAACTCGAAAGTGTAAATCCATAAATTCTGTATTTTTAGCCCAGATTCTCCCTCAAAGCTCCCTAGATTTCTAGTTATTCTGTACGTAAATGGAGTCTATTATTTTTCTCTTTATTCTATTTAATTTTTCTAGACGTCTAACATGCTTCAAATGCATTAATGGAATCTATTTATTTATAGAGTTTTCAAGTAAAAATTACTTCTATTCTATTTCCTGTTTTTCTATATTACTAGACAGTAATTGTTGTTTACCAGAATTCTATGGTAAAATAAATTTCCTAGAGCATCTAGTTGTAAAATACTAGATTTCTAATTCAAAAAATTGAAATTGCAAGAAAACTAATTAATTTTCCTTGAATTCACGTGAATTTCGTCACTAGAATTTGTCTAGTTGGAATTCACTCGCTGAAGTTTTTAGTGTGATGAATATTCTTTATTTGAATTAGTTTTTCAAAAAAAGAAAAAGTAGTGGCAAAGAATATTGTTAAATAAAAAGAAAATTGTGAAAGAAATCAAAGAAACGGGAGCAACCGTTTCGGATTTTCAAAAAAGTAAAAAGTAACTTAAATGTGAAACAATTTTGGAGGAAAATAAGGTGCTCACAAAATTAAATATTTTAAAAATATTAATAATATACGACAAACATTGCATTTGATTCAATATGACCACGAGATTTAATCACGAAAGCAAGATCTACTCCAATATTCAACGGAGACAGAACATTTAAACTGACAATATTTATAAGCGAAGCTGGAACAATTTTCGGACTGACAGGAGATATTGTGTAAGAATCTTATCTTTAGAACATCATTTTGTCCAAGGGAAACAACCATTAGCGTTAGGCAATTGGAAAGAGCAACGTAAGACGAAATGAAAGCCCAACTAAAAAAATTGTTTGGCATGAATCGAAAACTGATTAATCGGTATTAGTCTATAAACGTAAGTCAGTATTTCGAAATAATAATAAATTTAGATAAATTGAAATTTGATTAGATTAGATGATATGTACTTAAAATAAAGTAAGTTAAAAAGATTTAAAAAGTAAAAAGAAACCTGTTTTGCTCTAAGTAAATTAAACTATATAAAAAAAATTGAAGTCATATAAAAATTATAAGAGAAAAGTATTTACCTGTAGGTAAACATGGTGAACAATGATCAACTAAAATCAATTGTTATATATGAAAATGAATATAGACAATAAGCTGAAGCTGTTAATAAGGCAGAATTGAAGAAATAATGAAACAGAGAGGATTCAACTGCGTAGATGTCATAAATAAACTTAAAATAAAATAAAGTTGCGTCAAACCAATGGTTTGTATTGTAGCACTTTTCCCATCAACAAGTGAAAATTTTGCTTTTAAATACAGTCTATGTATACCTATCACACTATTAAAATTATTTTCATTCATATACAAAACTATTTCTAGGATTGCATGTATGTATTTAGGATGAACGATTTATGCAGTCTTTGAAATAAAGTAAAAATTAATATAAAGTGGGGTCAACATAATGCTCGATTTTAAGGGTTAATTTTGTGAGTTAAGAAAAATAATTATATAAAAAATAAAACTTTAGATAACGGTAAATTTGAACGGCCATTTTGTTTTTATAAAGTTTAACTATAGTATACCTCGCTAGGGGAAGCAAGTCGCTGCCTTTCTGCGTTTGTACAATTTCAAAAATGCTTATGGTTTCATTGCAACAAATAGTTAAAAAAGGCAATTTTTAGGGTTTTGGGGGGTATAACTTCTAGAGGGGGGGAGATAGGTAAAAATTTTGTTCTACGGAAATAAGTTTCTAGTAAAGATCTATGTACGTACAAAATTTCTGCTTTCTATCTTTAAGGGTGTAGAAGTTTTGTAAACAGACACACGGACAGACGGACGGACGGACGGACGGATAGAGTGAAACTAATAAGCACTTTTTTTCAAACATTTTTTGGAAAAATGCTAAAAATAAAAGAAAACGACGTAAATACTATAAAAAAGTTGCCTCTTTTCACGTTGTCCTTCGATTACATAAATAAAATATATAAAATAGGATATCTCCAGCACATGAGAGTAAAAGTTTAGCCTTTTAGAAATAATGGATCCATCCCGCAATGTAAGATATGCCAGAGGTTCAGTCATGCACAAAGATTTTGCCAAAGAGGGGCTAAATGTGTTAAATATGCTGGTAATCATATGACTGCAGAATGTAATGAGAAAGATAATTTGTAAGCCAGGTTTGCTAACTGCAATGAGGCACATCCTGCTGCTTGCCGAGACTGCTCAGTGGCTAAGGAATTACAAAAAAGGAGAATGAAAAGGAATCGACCTAAACGAGTCTTGGGTAATCATGAAGGGACCTCAAGAGCGATTAATGTTTTTACATCAAATAAGGTAAAAAATGGTGTTACATAAGTGGTGGGTTCCAAAATTGTAGAA